AGTGGAGTCAGGACTGTTCTCTGACTCAGCTCCCGGCCTGATGGGACCGACGCTGCACCTTGGGGCTTGTGGTGGGGGTTAGGGGAGGGGAGGTCCTGTCCTGGGCAGCAGAGGAGGCGGCCGCTGTGAATATCTTCACGCAGTTTCGTGGGAGGTGCCCAGAGCTGCCCTGAGTGCCTGGCGTGAGGTCCTTCTAACTGTTCTGTGACTTTCCTCTGTGCTGGTGGGGAGGTGGGTACCACTGGCCATGATGCTGGCTTCGTGGACCACATGGCAAGTAATGATCCGGGCAGTCCTGGAGGCCAGTCAGTCCCATTCCACATGAGCACCTGGCTTGAATCCACACTGGTTCCTGGCACTCTGAGGCCACGGTACTCAGGACCGATGGGTGTGGGGCAGTCGACCTAACCTGGCCCTGAAGACTGGGGGTCTGGGCTCTTGGGCTGTGTGGCTTTTGGCCAGTCATCTCACCTCTCCCAGCCTCAGTTTCCCCATCTGTAAAGTTGGCGGCAGGGCTCACGTCAGTATCTACTTCACAGACTGCCCGTAGGGATTCGGCCGGTGCCTGGCCTTGAGGGGGCTCTCGGCCCACGCTGCCTCTCTCATGTCAGGCGAGCTGGGAAGGGGTCAGGGACACCAGGGCACACATCTCAAAGTGACTGCGTTTGTCTCTGGAGGAGAAGACGAGAGGAGGATCGGGCTGCTCCAATGAGGCGGGCAAACCTGTTCATTTGAAATTACTCAAGAGGAAAGAGGATGCTCAGGTAAATTAGAGTGACCTTACTTTGCATGTGAAGGATGGGCTTGGCCACCCCAGAGAGCCTGCTGCATCCGTCACCCGCCCCAAGGGGAAAATTACGAAGAAAAATGGCACAGCCCTCCCCTCCTCTCCACAGCCAGCAGACTCCACGCCCGGAACAGAATGAGGGAAACGTGGTGTTTCTTTCCCAAAGGCTCCTGCCCTTGGAGCCAGGTCCTCACAGCCGGGACCAGTGCCCAGAAGTCCAGTCACCACCCTGGGTGACCTTTTTGGACTGACCCTGGGCAGAGGCCAGTATTCCCAGGACATCAGCCTGTGGGAGGGTGCATGTTGTTCCCAAAGGTGTGTTGGGGATTGTGACAACGGTGACGGTGGAGCAGCCGCTGCCTCCTGCCCTGTCCTGAGCTCTGAGCACCCCCCGGCTTGTAACCGGAGCTCATGGGGGTTGCATGCGCCTGGGGTCCCACAGCTAGGGCTGACAGGTGCAGGGAGGCAGGACCAGGCATCCTCAGATGTGTTCCCAGCAAACTCACAAATACTTCGGGAAAACTGGGAGAATTTGGCAGGAGATCAGGCCCTTTCCCCTTCTTGCTCCCTCAGGGAGCCTCTGGGCTAAGGACCTGGCCCGCCCTTTGATCTAGAGCGACTTCTCCCTACACCTCAGTCTGCACACCTGCAGAATGGCCGTGGTGTTGGTTTGCACCTACAGGCTTGGAGGAGGCAGCTCAAAGCAGGGTCGTGCATGTGTTGTAGGTCTTAGAATCCTGACAGTCCCAGTGAGTAGTTGCCATGAGGATGGAGAGTTTGGGCCCTGGACCAGCCTGCTACCTCCTCTTGCTCTGTCCCCCTTTGTCTGTGACCAGGCTTTGCTGAGCGTCCTGTGGTCACAGGAGACTTGAGCGGAGGTGGTGGCGGGTGCAGAGGGCAGCGGTAAGACCCATCCCTTCGAGCACCATGCTAGGCTTAGCTTCATGTCCAGGTGAAGGCAGATGGGTCAGATTGGGGACACAGAGGCAGGATCAATGTGGTTCCACATCTGTCATAAGCGGCTGGGTGACCTCTTGGACTGGACCTCTTGGAGAGGACCTCAGGCTCCTCTCTTGGACTGAAGTCTGGAAGCCAGTCACCCTGCAGGCTTTGGCCTGCCTGGTCCTTTTAAAACTCTTAATGTTTTGCTAGTATTAAAGGCCAGGCAGCTTCACCGAGATTTCTGGGTTCTGGAGAGATGGGGAGGTGTGGCCACACTGGGCTGGCCTGCCTGGGAGCTGTTCTGTTTGGCCCACTGGGGTTTCAACTAGCAATGCCTGTAGTGAGGAGGAACTCCTGCTCGATTAGTGATGCCTGCTGGGGGAGCAGGAGTGAGGAGTTGGGCACGGATGCTGAAGCCCGGGCTGCCCACTGGGGCCAGGCAGATGATGTCAAGCAGAATGGGGGCCCAGGTGGAGCTTGAGTCCAAGCAGACAGCACAAGCCTGTTTAATGAGTCGGGGCTGGGGACGGTGGATGCAAGGGCCCTCAGGCCCCAATTTGGCCACCTCTCCCAGCAGGTGCTTTCATGATGCACTTCCCAGAGAAGCGGGTTCAATGTCCCCGGAAGGCAGCGTCTCCCAGAAGGAGGACCCTGTGTGTGAAAGTTCATTATGGTGCTGTCAGCTGGACCAGAGCCCCCTCACCCCACGGCCAAGGCCAGAACACACAGCCCAGGGTGTTCTCTGCCTTATGGGCGAGGGTGAACCGCCTGCTGCCCAGGAGGGCCTCTCCTGCACGCCTCAATCCGCCCCTCCCCACGACGTGCCTCCCTGTCTTTGCACAGCCTGGAATGTCCAGCTTGGTCCTGCTCAGCCCTCTCTCTTTGGGCCTGTGGGTTCAGGCTGTTCTTGTTTTGCGGTAGCTGAGGTGTTGGGCAGCCCCACTCGCTCTCTCAGTGCTGGGGACATCGTCCCCACACCACCCCCTCCTTTTCCATGGGGAAACTGGGATGGACTCAGGTGAGTCAGAGGCCCAGAGCTGGCCTGGGGGTCCTCACGGAGCTGCTGTGCCAGCCCCTGCGCTGCCGTGGAGGCTCCCTCCTCCTCTGACCGAGACCCCAGGCCTCTGGCTTCCAGACTAGAGCCTAGAAATGAGTCGTCGTTTCTCTTTTTCTGAGAGTTTTCCCTCTCTCCTTCACGTCTGTCTGCTTGGGGTTGTGGCCCAGGAACCAGGATGCTCACAGTGCTTCCAGAAGCCCTGGGTTCCTTTCTGGGGGTGAAATCACCTCATGCTGAACCCCAGCCCCCAGAAATCGGGTCCCCCTGCCTTTTGGGGGTCAGGGGGGCTACGGGGTTTGTTCACACCCCCTGGGTCTGGCCAGGGCCCTGCAGGCCGCCAGGGCCCAGGACAGGGGCAGAGGCAGCCTCAGACCTCCCTTCCTCCAGGTTGGCATGGGTGGGGCCCCTGGAGACACGGGGGAGGGACAGAGGGGTGCCCCCCCCATGGTCCCGGCTGGGGTGAAGAGTGGATGAGGCTGGGGGCTGGGTTGCAGGCCCCTCTGAGGGGGCGTTGGTGTTGCACAAAGCAGGCCTGTGTGTCCTCTGAATGGGCAGCTTTATCCCAGGCCCTGACGGACAGGCCCTGGGTCCTGCGGAGCCAGGCCGGGCTGCCTAGGCCCTGGACCAGCCTGTCTGGAGAGGCAGGGCGTGCGGCCACAGTTACTGGGTCCAAGGCCAGAGGCCCAGCCTTTGCTCAACCCAGGCCCTGCCGTCCTCTTGGTGGGTAAATGACTCCTCCTTCACAGGGTTTGAGACTTATCCAATTTCCAGCCAGGCAGAGCCCAGCCTTCTCCAGGCTCAGGAAGGTCTCACCAAGGTCCCTGGCCAGTCCATCCTCCCTCCTGCCGCACCCAGGAAGATGGGGATGCAATTCCCCCGGGGGCCAGAGCCAGGCCCAGGCTCCAGGTCAAATGCAGAGGCAGACATGCAGTGCGGGAGCCCCCAGCGTTGGGCCCTTGGGCTGCATGAGTCACTTGACTTCCGGACCTCTGTCTCCTCACTGTTAGGTGGGATGAAAAAAAAACACCCTCTGTACGTTCAGCCCTGAATAGGGATCATGGACCCTGGCGCGGCCTTTGTCGGGTGTTGTCCTGTGCACTGTAGGCTGTTAAGCTGCACCCTGGTCCCCACCCTCGAGATTCCAGGAGCACCCTGAGTTGTGACAGCCACTGATGTCCCCAGACATTGCCACATGTCCCCTGGGGGCAGACTCACGTGACTCACTGACGGCATCAGGCAAACTGGTACAGTTGGGCAGAAGCTTAACGTGGGTGAGAAGGGGGTGTTCTGGGCTTCAGAGAGGATGTAGGGGGTGGGCTGTGTGTGGAGGGGCTTCTGGTCCTGTACAGACAGGAATGTCCGCCCCGGATGCATCCTTTTCCCACCGGGCTTTCTAGTCCCCACCTGCGGCCGCCCCCACTCCTCCAGCTTCCGTGTGTCTGTCTGGGAGGAGGAAGAGCTGAGTCAGCCGCCCTGAGCTTGAACCTGTGTCCCTGGGAGCCCTGAGCTAATGGCTTGTCATTTGCTGGGGTGGGGGGGCTGTCTTCCTGCCAACCCCCCGGGGTCTGGGGAGGCACCTTCCCCAGGCTCATCCGTCAGTGGGCGGCCTCGGGCTGGGGTCAGCTGGCGGAGCTCCAGACCCGGCGCTCCTGGCTGTGTCCCCTCTGTTGTGTCCCTGCCCAGGTCCCCGGCGGGACCGGCACCGCTGCTGGGGGCCCTGCTGGCACTAGGCATGGCCAGCTGCCCAGCCGCCCTAAAGCAGACCCGCTCGAGTCAGCAGAAACCACCCCGGCGCTCGCAGGATCAAAATAACCTTCCTTTCCAGCACTTGAGGGTTTTTCCGCCTTCTAGGGGAAAAAAACAAAACAAAACCAAAAAAAAAAAAACAAAATGAGAATTGCAGCATCCGCGGCCTCCCAGAATGTGGTTTTTCTGAGGCCTCTTCACTGTGCGTCCTGTGCATGTGATAGGTGTGTGTTTGCGGGGGTGCGCGGCGCGTTATCTGTGTCTACTTGTGCTGGTGTGCGTGTCGGGGGTGTGGGCGTGCTGGGTGTGTGTAGGGGCGGTGGGGTGTCTGTGTTGGGCGTGTGTCTGTGTGTCGGGGGTGTAGGGCGTGCTGGGTGTGTGTAGGGGCGTTGGGGTGTCTGTGTGTCAGGGGTGGGGGCGCTGGGAAGGGCCAGCCCCGAGGCCTCATGTGTCCCCTTGGTCTTGCAGCGGAGCTGGAGTTCGTTGAGATCACCATCATCGTGGTGGTGGTGATGGTCATGGTGGTGGTGATCACCTGTCTGCTGAGCCACTACAAGCTGTCCGCCCGCTCCTTCATCAGCCGGCACAGCCAGGCCAGGAGGAGGGAAGACGCGCTGTCCTCGGTGAGCGCCTGCCCCTCCCGTCCACGCCTGGAGCTTCCAGGAGCCGCGGACGCCCCCACCGAATGCCCACGGTGTCTGGGTCGGGTGCTCATGGGACCTGGGAGACAGTCTGCGGCAGGGGTGCAGTGGGGGGTGGTTCTAGATCCAGGCAGCGACCCCGACGGAAGGAAGGCCGCAGACCAGTCCCTAGCCTGTGCGGCGGGGCTGCGGACCCCAGTCATCATGTAAAAAGGGCCAGCGCTCGGGGCCTGGGCACTGCTGGCTGGGACTGCGAGCACTTCTGCTCCCTCAACTCTTCACCTGTCTGTCCGTCCATCCGTCCATTCACCAGACAGGTATCTGCTGAGCACTCACCGCGTGTCTGGAACCCTCCCAGGCCCTGGGGGGAGATGGCTGTGAGCAAGTCCCGTGGGGTTGCTGCCTGGCGGGCTGGGTCTGGACACA